CCCGAACAATTAAAAAACAAACAAACCTAATTGAAGTGGGACTAACCCCGATTTCAATCTCTACTGTGGATCTATTGTAATAAAAACAGCACAGTACTGCCATAAAGGCAGGCACATCGGGCAATAATTGAGGATCTATACATGAGCCCTGATCTTTTCTTGAAAGACACCAACAATTTAGATGGGGAAAAAAAGCCATCATCTTTAATAAATGATGCTGATCAAACTGGATAGCTATGTGTAGAAGAATGAAAATAAATGCTTTTCTCTTTCCCTGAACAACACTCAACTCCAAATGGACCTTCATAGGGCTTATGAACTCTTCACCAAAGGACTTTCTGATTAGGTCTGCAATCCAGGTTCCCTCCTGTGGAGCAAGCTTCAAATCCAATTGTAAAACAGCTGGTTACCCACACAACAGTCATGGTACTATTGTGCCAGTGGGCACATTTTGCCTGTATCGCAACTCGCAGGGATCACCACTGTAAGACCATTGATGACGTTTCTCCCCCAGTGGCCTGTGTGGCACCTCCAGGCTCTATGAAGGCTTTATTTTTCTTTGTCCTGTAAGGTGTATGATATTTTCAGCAACAGAATCTTACCATCTAGTTCTGATGGGCAACGTAGAGCAATGTAATAGCATGTATTGTTTTGGGGGAGCCGCTGGAATTAAACTGCCCAGTAATTCACAAGGAGAAAACATAGATTCTTAATTCAAAATTTCTAATATCCCCAACAAAGTCTTTAAGGGACTCTCAAATTTGCCTCTGAAACGTCACGAGCCAGGCTTCCACCATATGCAATACGTTCAGCATTAATTTTCCATGTTTCCACAACCATCCCCCCAACATAGTCAGGTGGTATCCCATAGTAACATTCCACAAGCCTGGGACCAGTATGTGTCATTAGGGTTTCTATTGCTCTGATAAACGCCATGACAAAAAGCAACTTGGAGAGCAAATGGTTTATTTCATCTTACATTCAATTCCTGGAGGCAGGAATTGAAGCAGAAGTCATGGAGGGGTGCTGCTTACTGGCTTGCTCAGCCTGCCATTTCATAGTAGCCGGGACCAGCTGCCCAAGGGTGACACCATCCACAGTGAGCTGAATTATCTCATATCAACCATCAATCAAAAAAGTGCCCACACGTCTGTCTGATGGGGAGTTTTCTCAACTGCGGCTCCTTCTCCCTAGACGACTCTAGCTTGTATCCAGTTTACAAAAACTGACCAGGACAGATGGATAACTAGCAATTCCCCTCTCCCATTCTTTACTCAACAGCATCCATTGCAGTAATAGAAGACTTGCAATTTCCTGAAGTCCCATCTGTTGATTATTGGTCTTGTTTGCTGAGCAGTCAAAGCCCTGTTTAGGAAGTCCTTATTTATGTCTGTGTTGAAGGTACTCTTTACTTTTTCCTAAAATGGTTCAGATCCTATACTGAAGTTCTTAATCTATTTTGAGTTGATTTCTGTGTAGAGTGCGAGATATAAGGGTATAGTTTCATTCTTGTACACGCAGATACCCCGTTTCCCTAGAAAAATTTGTTGAAGTGGATATCTTTTCCAATGTGTAATTTTGATGTCTGTGTCAAAAACTCAGATGACTTTAGTTGTGTTGTCACATGTCTGGGTCCTCTCTTCAATTCTATTGATCTACGTGTCTGTTTTTGTCCCAGTAAAATGCTGTTTTCATTGGTATGGCTGAATAGCAGAACTTGAAATCGGGCCACAGAGCATGCCTTTAATTCCAGCACTTGGAGGTACAGGCCAAGTGGATCTCTGTGAATTTAGGGACAGCCGGGTCTACAAAGTGAATACCAGGCCAATTGAGACACAATAATGCCTGAGGCTAGAGAAATGTCTCAGCCAGTAGGTTAGGTTCACAACCAAAAGAATCAGAAAGCAGTCACCGGACCCTCCTCTTACAGCCTTCATCTATGAGTTCCTACTCTGGGGAATGTGCCTTCTTTGCTCTGTGGACAAGATTTTTCTGTCTACATTTTCTGATGTTCCCTCCCATCTGCCTTCCCTCCCTTTCTTTATTCTTTTCTTCCTTCCACAACTTTTTGAAATATGGCATAAAAATGTACTTGCGTTTAGCCATATATGGAGGTATAACCTGTAACCATAAAAGACTCAGGCAGGGGTGGGGTGGAAATCATGATCTGGAAGAATGACTAGTCTTATCATGAGTCACTACAATGGAAGCATTAGATTCAGGCTGTTGGACATCACAACTGGCTTTCTCCCTCCAACAGGCAGTGGCTCAGTCATCTTATTCGTGTAGCTACAAAAATATATGTATCTCCTATTGGCTTTGTAAGGGTGATAAGAGAATGATGACATAAATGTGTTATGATATACTAAGTAAAAAAAAAAAAGAACTTGAAATAGGATATGGTGACATCTCCCCTAGTATTCCTTTTGCTCAAGATTGGTTTATCTACCCAGATTCTTTGTACATTTGTATTGATTTTAAGACTTATCTATTTCTTTGAAGAATTTTGTTTATAATTACACTGAATCTGTATTTTGAGTCCTCTTACACAATTTGTAACATTTATTGATTGATACATATTGAACTTTCTCTAGACCTCTGAGATAAAATGAACATGATTTTATCTCAGTGAGTGGGGTCTTTTTGATGTGTTCTTGAGTTCAGACTGTGAGTATTTCGTTGAGAATTTTTGCATCTATGTTGATCAGGGAGATTGGACTGCAACTTTATTTCCTTTTATTTTGCCCTTTTGTCCAGTTTTGGTGTTGGGGGTAGCTAACTTCACAAAAGGATTCTGGGAATGGTCTTCCTTTTCTTAATTTACACAGTCATTTGAGATACTCTGCTGTTAGCTGTTCTTTGAGATGCTGGTCAGATCCCCCAGTGAATCCATATGAAACAGAATGTTTTCAGTTGGGAGATTTTAAATTATTGCTTCAGTTTCACTGGTTTTTATGAAGTTTTGTATCATTTTACACACATAAAGGTGTAATCTATGACATTAATAGAAGGAATAGACAGAGTTAACTAGGACCAGAATCTTTGTGTTCTCTGAAATTAAATGAATATAAATTGAAAATAGTTATATCACCTAGAAACATCAAACATAAAGTGCATAATAACCTCAAAAAATACCTGCAGATATGTATATACAAATGAGAAGGAATGGCCATTGTGTCTATGCCTGTAATCCTAGGATTCTCTCTCTCTCTCTCTCTCCCTCTCCCTCTCCCTCTCTCTCTCTCCTTCCCTCCCTTCCTCCCTTCCTCCCTCCCCCCTCCTCTCCCCACATATCATTTAAGCAACTTCTCAAAACTTTCCCAGGCACACTTGGCAGTTATGCCTTAGCCATCACGTTAAGCCGCAGAAGTGCCTCAGGTGAGAGCTCAGGGCTGTTGCGGGAATCATAGCCCCGAACGTTTGAGTACCCTAGGAACACACATTTTCTAGTAGTTTCCTATGCACAATGGAGGAGGCCCCCTCCAGTGTTTTTTGACTCCTCCCTCTACTCCCTTCTTTGCTTTTACCTTTCCTGGGCCCCCAACAATATGTCCTGGGAATGTAGTGCAGTGGTGTGGTACTCTTGTTCAGTCCGGGCGGTGGGTGGGTGGGTGGGAGGGAGAAATGGGGAAGGTAAAGCCAGTATAATTAATTAGCTTAGTCACAAGTTCCGTCTGGTGACCTAAGCCCAGAAAGCCTGTTGTGACCTTAGGTCACAATTCCAGTGGCATAACTGAAGGTTCAGGGGAGCTTCTCCTCACTGCCACCCAGATCTTCTGAATATCAAGCACATGGTCACAATTATTTTTAACAGGACTTTTCCTTTTCTGAAGAAGCACACCCAAGCAAGGGGGGGAAAGGGGGCTGGCCCACAGATGACAGGACACCCTTCTGAGCTTCCTGTTAAATTGGCTTCCACCTCTCTTTCTTAGTGGTGTTGATGTGATTGGTTTCCGTGGGAGGAGAGAGGAAACACACATTTCCCGCGAGGTTCACCATCGTCCACCCTCATCTGGAAGGATTTTATCACTGGAAAAATTAGGGCACCACAGGATGCTAATTCTCTTCTATAGCTACCAGGCAACAGCCTTTTCCCCAACGGGCTCTGGAGGGGAAAAGAAGAGACTGGATACTCTGAAGTGAATCTTCAGCCTTCAACAGATCTTTAACCATGTTTTGTTTGTTTGTTTGTTTGTTTTTCCAATTGGCCCACCAGCTTTGTGCCTGCCGACCCAGGATTGGACAGGACTCACGAGCAGTGAACCCACCCAGGCGGACAGGACTCACGAGCAGTGAACCCACCCAGGCACACAGGCTAAATAGCAAACAGATGCCTGACGTGCCAAAGAGCTCACTAATCTGGGCTCCGCCAAAAAACAGTTCAGCCTCTCGGTTTCTGGGTGGAGAGATGGCTTTATCTTCTTTGTTTGTGGGATCGGATTTTACAAGCAGGAGTTCCTTTTCTCTTGAGGGGAAGCAGAGATCCAGATTCTGCTCCAGGCAAAGTTGCGGACCTAAGGTGTTGGAGGCTGTCATCAACTTGCCTCCCTCCTATAGCTCCCTGCTCCCTAGTTTCGTTTGTTTGATTTGCTTCGATTTTGGTCCCCAGAGCCAGCAAAACTTCCAAGCTCACGCTTGCTGTCTGAGCACGTGCGTTCGCTGTTTAATCTAATAGGGACTTGGGGACTTCAGCTTTGGTTCAGATGTTACTACGCCTACTACGCCGTGGTTGCTCTTTACAGTTCAGAGAACATCATCAAAACCCCATCCCAGCCCCTCACTCACGAACCTGATCCTTTCCTACACCTGCAAGTGACAGCTCACACTCCAGCCGGTTCCTTAATCCCCAAAACGTGTCGACGGTTTGATGGTGCCTCCCCCGCAAGGACCAAAGAGGCGTGCGCCCTGGTGAGGGTCCGCCCTTCCTCCCTGTCTCTGGTGGGGCGGGGGTAGGTAGGCAGGGATCTGGATCTGGTTAGAGGAGGGGAAAACCATGGTCCTAGCCGCCTTCTTCAGTCCCAGTCTTCCCGAGGAGGAGGAGGGACTAGGAAGGGGTCCCATTGCTGCACATCCCGTCCTGGGTTTGACCTGCTGCCGCCGCCTCAAGTCTCCCATCTCGCCCACCCCAGACTCCCGACATGAGCCCCCCTTCCAGCTCGGGCATCTATGTGAGCCGCGGGGTGGCTCTCCTGCTGGCCGGGCTGACGGCTGCGCTCTTGCTGGTGCTGGTGGCTCTGGCTGCCCTGTATGGCAACTGCGCACGCGTCCAGCCTTTGGAGCAGCATAGCCCGGGGGTGAAGGACACTGAGTTAATCACTTTTGGCGGCCAGGAGCAGGCGCCACCAACCCCAACACCAGATGCTGCGCGTGAGCCAGCGGTGGCCACCACCTCGAAAGACTGGAGACCCCCATCGGGGCCCTGGGAACATCTGCGCCTGCCTCCCTGGCTTGTCCCGCTTCACTATGATCTGGAGCTGTGGCCCCGGCTACGGCCGGATGACCTGTCCACGTCGAGTTTGACTTTCACAGGTCGCGTGAACATCACTGTACGCTGCACAGTGGCCACCTCGAGACTGTTGCTGCACAGCTTCTTACTGGAATACAAGCGAGTGGAAGTGTGGGGTCCCCTGGCCTTAGGCACTAGGAACGCCGGTGCAGGTCGAGTGCCTGTGGACAATGTGTGGTTCGCTCTGGACACGCAGTACATGGTGCTGGACTTGGGCCGGGCCTTGCAGCCAGGGAGCAGATATGAGCTGGACCTCTCTTTCTCTGGCCGAGTGCTTCAGCACGCTTCAGAGGGGCTCTTCCTGAACTTCTACTTCGACCAGGGCGAGCACAGGTAAGGGTTTGTGGCACAGTCCCGCATGCATCCCCACCCAGCAGTGTTCATCTGTGTGATGCACCTTCTGCCCCGAGAAAAGACGTTTTCTCCTCTCCCAGAGCCCAAGGCAAAGGGTTCCTTGTTCCTCTTCCTCTGCAACTGCTAGGAATAAAGATGGTTGAGAACCCGCTCTTCTCTTGTTACTTCCCAGCCCATCCACACTGAGGTTGTTTTCACCTCCGGAGTTTATCACTTTGTTGTTGTTTTAAGAGAGCCTTTATCAGGCCGGGCGGTGGTGGCGCACGCCTTTAATACCAGCACTCGGGAGGCAGAGACAGGCGGATCTCTGTGAGTTCGAGACCAGCCTGGTCTACAAGAGCTAGTTCCAGGACAGTCTCCAAAGCCACAGAGAAACCCTGTCTCCAAAAACAAAAAGCAAAAACAAAACAAAAAGCCTTTGTAACTACCTAGAAAATTCTAGCTGTCTAAACACATTCTTCCCCTTTTAAGGATTAGTACTTTGACCAACAACTGTTAATCCCTGAGAACTGCCTAGAAACACAACTGTTGGAACCCATGCCCCACCAAAGGGTGAAACTGCCTTCTGGCCTTAGAGCTGGAGGAGCTAGAAGGAGCTAGAAGCATCCCTCTTCCGTGTAAGATTCTCTGCTCCCTGAGCCCTGGGCACTAAGCTTTGCTCTGCCTCGCTCCATCTAACCAGGCTAGCCGTGGCTCTACAAACACAGCCACAGCAGGTTGCCTGTCCCCGTATCCTATCCTGTTTGTTGTTGGTTTTACTAAGGTTTCCCCAAAACTTCAGAATAACAATTCATTTATCTGTTCCACGACTGCCAGGCCCTCATTTCCTTTTGCTGGCCATGTGTGGCAGCTGGTGCATTCTGCCAAACTTCAGAGCCCGGCACTTCTGGAATTCCTCTGTTGGGATTTGCCAGCCCATGTAACTGTAAATATGTTCTTATACTCACTCGCTTGTGAGAATGTCTCCGACAGGGGGCGTTTCCAGACACTCCCCGAGAAGCTTCTCTTGGCGCCCTGAGGTCACACTAGGAAACCCTGCCAATGTTGTGAAAATGAACGATAACTTCCTCCCTTCACCCATTGGAGGGTTGATCATTTGCTGTCCTCACACCTTCCTGCACTTGACCCTTTATTAGAGAAAAACGTTCTTAGATGCTGGGGGCGGGAACCACACGGAAGTACATGCTAATCCGCCTCTTACACATGCTTCAAAGCTTCAAAGGTCTTAAATAAAGTCAATGAGTTGCCTAAGTGGATATGCGGTCTTAACTTTGAAAGGACAATGTGTTTGGTTTTCCGTTTTCAGTGCATCAATTTTTGAAAAACAACTTGAGATTGCCTCTTAAGAATGACAGGTCTGCTTCACTGAGAACAGTCTGACACAACTTTGCCTTAATCCCATAGAAGAAAGAGCTGAAATGCAGGGCACGGTTGGTAGGGGTTCTATTATCCACAAATCTTGGCTTGCTTCCTTCTCTCTGTCCCGGTGGGCCATGCCCAGACAAGCTAACCTAGGAGTCCCTGTCCATTTTCCTATTGTGCCAGTCAAGAGAAGCCAGATTTTTCAGAACATCGAAGCCCAGAGAGAGTTCTAGAATTGGGGTTTCTGAAGAGATATCACCAGCAAGTTGTTATTCTTCTACGTCTAGACAAAAAAAAAAATGCTTGAAGCCAGTGTCACAAAGAACCTGGACACAATGATGGCTGGTGGCGCAGAGAACTGTGGGAGCTGACCAGGCACTGTGGTTGAAAATGAGCTGTGTCAGCTGAACTTGTCACTGCACCCCAAGTCTGTTCCTCCATCTCTGGAATAGACATGATCACAGTCAACTTTAGAACATTGTGACAATGAGATGAGACAGGGAGACCTATCAGTGCCTGGCACAGGACTTGAGCTGTGTGTGGTGCCTGCAGGAGGCAGGTCAGCTTAACCCTTTCAGGGGTTACACTCCTTGTTATCCAAACACAGAAATTGGTACAAAGGAGCCTAAGAAGTCTGCGGAGGAAAACACAAGGGGCTGGAGAGTGGGGAGTTTCCAGTGAAGAGGTATGGAGTTTTAGTATAGACGCTTATATAACTGTATTTGTTATATAAGTTATCAAAGTGAGGATATTCTGTTCTGCTCTGATTTTTGTATGATATGTTTTTGTATGAATGGACGTTGAATTTTATGCAATGCTTTTTCTGCTTAAATTTTTTGTGATTATATGATTTTACTTCTTTGGACTCTAAATATAGCATATTATATTGATTGACTTTTAATAATGACCCAGCCTTAATGTCTTACCCTTTGTATTAAGAGGTTACTGAATGATGAGGTTGGTGAGCACCTTTACTGCAGGGAGGAAGGCTTAGAGGAGGGGGGGATGGAGAGAGCAAGTATCTTTACTCTCCAATCTCCTATGCTTGACAAGGACATGACCCTCAGACAAATTTCCCTGTGAAACTAATTTCTTTTATGTGTAGCATGTTTAAAATAAGCTTATTTTCTTTTATGTGTATGCATGTTTTGCCTGCACATGTCTGTGCACTATGTGCTTACCTGGTGCCCACGGAAGCCAGAAGAGGGCATCTGGTCTCCGAGGACTGGAGTTATAAATGCTGACCACCTGGGCGCCTGGAATCAAACCCAGGTCCTCTGGAAAAGCAGCCTGCTGCTCAGTCCTTTATCACTCCTGTCCCCCGATGGTAGTTTCTTTTTTTTTGGTTTTTCGAGACAGGGTTTCTCTGTAGCTTTGGAGGCTGTCCTGGAACTCACTCTGTAGACCAGGCTGGCCTCAAACTCACAGAGCGATGGTAGTTTCTTAGAAAGTGTTTCCAGGCAATGAACCAACACAGACTGGGGGAGTCTGAGTAGGAAGACAGTCACAATATGAAAATAAATGAAGGCCTGAGCCACACCTCAGAACATGTTTGCTTCCTCCATGTTGACTGTAGACGAACCTTGAGGTCAGAGTAATCCAGAACTATGTACGAGTACAGGCAAAGCAGTTCCAACGGAGCCTTGTTAGCCTGGTGCTACCAGAGTGGCTTCTCATTCACAGAATAGAAGTGTGGTAGGTCATGGGCCGTAAACAATGCAAATGGTTCCTGTGGTTCCTTAGACGTCTGAAGGGTCTAGAATTTCTCATGTGGGTGGAGGGTACTGGCTGGATAGTTACACTGTGCCAAGAATGAAAACAACCATTGTGGCAGACACTATAGAAGTCATTGTCAAAGATAGCTTCAAAGGCAGTTTATCTAGGCTTAGGGGATGGGCTGAACACATAGGAGCCCAGAAGAGGGTCTTAGCACTGTTGGGAACCACTGAGCCTTGATCATTGTGAAGGAATGATACTCAAGTCACACCAGTCCAGAAAATGCAATCATATCAATCTGGTAGTATGAGAATTCTTCACGTTTTGAGAATTCTCCTCTTTCTTTTTCTTTTTCACTGTGACATCTGGGAGTAGAAAGATGGAGCTTAGATTTCTTATCCTAAAGAACTGGTAAGTCCTTGAAAAGAAGTTTGGGTTTGGAATTGACTTTTCGCAGGAAGAAGGTTGATTTACACAGTAGCAACAAAGATCCTCTAATTGATGAGCTTGCATTCTTTTCTGTGTCATGAGTGAAAATACAGATTCCAGACTCTGAAGAAATTGGTTTCAGACAGTTTGTTTTATACTTTTGAGTTCTGGAAAGTAAATTTTGGTGACAGCCTACCAGTATCTAACCACCCAGCATGAAACCTGAGTGATAGCAGTCTGTTTCAACACAGCTTCTAAGCAATTATCGAGAACTCCATAAAACAATCCTGCTACCAACTCTGCATTGTACACATGCTGCTGACCTTTGGAGCCCATTGAAGAGGATGTATATTATGTCTGTATATGGAAAGACATTGGTTCAGTTGGTGATGGTCACTTCATCATAAAAATCTGTTTTTTGTTTGTTTTTGTATGTACTACATGTGTCAACCAAACATTCTAAACCTATTCTAAAGAACAGAATAGGTACAACGTGACTCTGGTCATTTGAAAGAAGAAACCCTTTATGAAGTAAGTTCCTGCAGATAAAATCCCACCAGTCAAACAATACTGGGAATCCTTTCTGCTCCTTGAAGATGACCTTGCCCCACACTTGTTTGTATCACGAAGTAAACCCTTGTTTGTATCACTAATTCCTGGTGGACCAGCGGGAGCCATTGAAGTAACTTTGGTAGGGTGATACTGTAACAATATTTGTTATGACAGTCTTTGTAGCTGCTTCTGTACTGATGGTTTGCAAGGCATATGTAAGGCAAGAATGGATGCTAGAAGGTATTTTTTAATTTTGTTTTGAGACAGGCTTTTACTGTTCTGTCAAGACTGGCCTACAGTTCGCTATCCTCTCACCTCATCTTTCCAAGTGCTGGAATTACAGGCAGGCACTGAGGAAATAATATTTAAAACAATACCAGCTGCTTGTGGTCACCTTCTGTTGTAGCATATACAACAAGAATGCCAGTTCCACCTTTAACTCAGGAGGCAGAGGCAGATGGATCTCTGTGAGTTCGAGGCCAGCCTGGTCTACCAACCAGAGCTGTTACACAGAGAAACCCTGTCTCAAAAAACAAAGCAAACAAAAATGCCAGCTCCTTCTTGACCTGCCCACAGAAGCTTCCAAAAGGCTGCCCAGGGCAGAACACATTCTACACCTGCCTTCTCCAGTGTTTCTCACCCCAGCTTTCTAATTCCTGATGTTTCCACCATGTATCTTTTACTTTTAACCCACATATGGTAATATTAAGGAGTTTCCATTTGTTCTCACACACACATTATTTCCAGTTGTGGCTATTACAAAGAAATCTTCCAGAAATATCCACATACAAATCTTTATGTAATTTCACCTCTTTTGAGTAAATACTATATCAAAGGTAGAATGGCTGGATTGTATGGTAGGGAGATGTTTGAAGAACCTAAGTTGTTTTCCAAGGTATTTGACCACTTACAATTTTCAT